ATTTACGCCTTTTTGGCCTTATTGTCCTCTTCAGGAAGTTGTGAGATTGTTCACCTAGGGTCTAGCCAGCTCCCGGTGCCTCTGAAACTCACAATCTGAATTTCTGAACCTGCTTCCATCTCCTTCAGGAAATAGAGTGCTCAAGGAATCAAGAGGGGAGGGTCAGCACAAGGCCGAAAGGTCCCGTGGGGATTTGCAGGTTGCCTTAAAACACTCCCACAAGCAGTGGGGTAACCTGGGTTCAGCCAAAGTAGAGACTAGGGCTGAAGTGGACATCACCTTCCCTAGTTTATCCCCTGTACTAATTTGGACATACCTGGTACAAGACAGATACCAGATTGAATTTTTAATAACTGTATAAGAGGCACCCTGATCTTGCTGGGTGTTTTAATGCCTGGTGATATTCACATCCAGGATTGTGAGCTGAGTCCTATCCCATGTGTAAAGCCTCCTTGGGATTAACGGACAGAGCCAGGAATCAAGACCCAGTGGTTTGTTTCCCAGTGCCTTTTCCAGAGAAGGTGGAAGGAACGAGCTGTACAAAGTGCTTTCTGCCTTTACAGGATGTTAGGTACTACAGCGAGGAGTGCGAGGTGGATCTCCGTGACCCTATCAAAGACTACGAACTCTACAGAGAGACTTGCCAAGAGCTTCAGAGGCTCATGGCAGAAATCCAGGAGCTGAAGAGCAGAGGCATCAAGGACAACGTAAGGAGAAGCATCGGTGCTTGGTTTAATGTGTTCTGCTCTTGGATGGCTTTCCTTAATCTGAGAGGAGAGGGAGCAGAAGCCATTCCATTTTCCGGGGAGAGGCAGGCAGACGGAACAGCCTCCTTTAGACAAAGTAAAAGACAGTTCAGCTGGGTCTTGACTGAGCAGGCGTTATGCAAACCAAGTTCTAAAGCATGTTTGTGCCCCTGTGAGTCAGGGGTTCCTGGGAGAGGAACTGAGCCCTCCTGACCACAGCGGGGGTGGCCAGGCTCTCGCTGTCCCACAGAGGCCCTGCACCCTCAGCCATGGCTGGGCAAACCTTGTGCTACGACTGCACCATCCTGGGTGGCTTCAGACACAAACATCTCTGTTCCTACCAGTGAGAAAAATGACTAGAGTTTGCCTAGAACCCCCCTGCACGTTGTTTCCGGGGAGCGACCTGTGAGTCGGACAGCAGGAGAACCCTGACAATGTTAACTGTGGCTCTTCAGTGAAGTGCAGAGGTCCCTTTGTGACAGGACTCACGGGAGGTCCCTGCAGTAGAGGGGCTTTGCTGTTCTGGTTGTCTGTCCTGCTTCAAACAGCGCTCTTCTGCTACTCAGGCATCTGAGATAGACGAGCGGCGCATTCAGAGCTGCGTCCACTTCATGACCCTGAAGAAGCTCAACCGGCTGGCTCATATTCGGCTGAAGAAAGGGAGAGACCAAACCCACGAGGTATGGTGGGGCCAGGGGGTTGGTGAGCACAGGTCAGCGTTTAGCAGGGTCAGAGACAGCGCCGTTTCTGCCTGGTCTCTTTATGGACAGCAATTAAACACCCGCCAGACTGTGTTTGGGGTTTTTTTAATTAGAGGTTTATCGGGAGACTGGCACAATAAAGTGGGAGCTGCGATTATAAGGAATGACAAAAGTTCCATCTCAAGAGTTGGATGTGCCATAGGCCTGAGAAATTTGTAAGCAGTTAGCCCCAAAGCTCCTCACCCAGACATCTCAGAGAGCTTTTCACAGCTGATGAACTACACCCGTTTTCATTGTACCGCTGAGGAAACTGAGGCAGGGGATTGGAGGGCCGTGTGTCCCAGCAGCTCTGCCCTCTTCTCTGCCTTGTCCCCAAAACGTGCTGCCCTCCAGAGCAGAATCAGTTTGAGGTGATGAGCATCTGCTTCCCCAGCCTTTGGAAAATGTTGCAGACCCTAAAACTCACCATCCCCAACCGGTGCGGTGAGGGCGGTGTACATCGGCGACTCGCTTGTGGGATTTTTGGGAGGAAAGCAACAAAACTTGATGCCCTGCTCTGGCTCTGTTTCAGGCAAAGCAGAAGGTTGATGCGTATCACCTGCAGCTCCAGAACCTGCTCTATGAGGTGATGCACCTGCAGAAAGAGATCACCAAGTGCCTGGAGTTCAAGTGAGTTTGACCAGAAAGGAGAGGGAGGTGACGGGCTCTCTGAGGTGGGGCGGAGGCCTCGGCATTTGGAATCTCTTGCCCTGTTGCCCGAGCCTGCTGCAGGAGGAGAGCGGGTGCTCCAGATGTCACTATATGGGAGTGTTGGGATATTCCAGAGTTCTTGTGCTGGGGAGGAGGGAATCTGTTGCGACAGGAGGAGGGAAAATGGAAATGTCAAAGATGTGGCCACACTGGTCTCTCCAAGGAGTCTCTGGCCTCCATATTTCAGGATTTTTCTCCTAAAAGCCAAGTTTTCCTTCATGCCTGTCGCGTGGGCAGCGCTCTGGGTTGCTGCCAGGAGGACTGTGTTTAGAGTGACACCTCAAACGTGTGAGGAAAGTCCCTTTGTGAGAGGAGAGACCCTGCACAGACCTTTCTCTCTACTGGTGGCTCAAGATTAGAGCGAAGCCAGGGCACGGACCATCAGCTCACCCTCTCCAGTGAGACACGATTGAGTTCAGCCCTACTGCAGAGTTTCCCACCCTCCCCTGGTCTGATCCTTCTGTCCTTGCAGGTCAAAACACGAGGAGATCGAACTGGTGAGCCTGGAGGAGTTTTACAGAGAGGCCCCTCCCGAAATCAGCCGGCCTGCCATCACCCTGGCTGAACCTCACCAGCAGACCCTGGCCCGTCTGGACTGGGAGCTGGAGCAGCGCAAGAGGTGGGTCAGCGATGGCTTGGCCGGGCACTGAGCTGTGAGGGGCATCTTGGTGGATCGCCGGAGCGAGCAAAAGCGGGCGGTCGCAGTTTTAACACCTTGAAATAATCGGTGTAGAGCGAGTGACAGATTTATTGCATAACTGGGCCCTCGGTGTGGAGATCCGCTCTTTGCGTGGGGCTGGCCTTGGTGAGATCGTTGTTTCAGAAACCAGGGAGTTTTCTTTCATGTTCCTCATGGAACCAGAGCCCTGGAGATCCTGGGGAGCAGAGCAACCTCTGAACCAGGGCAAGAGGAGCCATGAGCCAGCTGCAGCCGCTGTGCCCGGCTGGGGCTGTGCCTTGTGCTCTGACAGCAGAGGCCCCTCGGCTCTCCGGCTAAACCCTGTTCTCTCAGCGAGGCAGCAAACATGAGTGCTGGCTTTTTGGGTATCAAGGGAAGAAAATGAATATTTTAGCTTGACATTTCCCCTGTGTCTGCTTGGAGGCCCTTAAAGGAGGGAGTGGGGATACCACCCATTTTGGGGGTGATCCCAAAGGATGGACGGTTACACGCTTCCATCCTGAACCGAACTCTGCAAGATGTGCTGTGCAGGGCAAAGGATCCCTGTTTTATCTCTGAGCCGTGGCACGAGGAGCAAAATGAAGTCAACGCGGTGCTGCTGCCGTTCCCTCCTGCCTGTGCTCCTAACACTTGCCGAGGTGGGGAGCTGCCCGCACAGCGCTGAGCTCGCAGAGCTGCGATTTCTGGTGCTGGCAGCCACCTCCTCAACCTCCTCCGACCCCCGAGGTCCCTCAGCTGATGCAGGCAGGCCGAGTGGCTCCGCTGCTCCCTCGGCTCTCGCCCCACATGAACAGCAAACGCAACGCATTGCTGCTGTGCTTTGATAACAGCCAGCAGCTTTGTCAGGGTGGCAGCTGAAAGCAGCTGCCTCGAGCAGACACCAGTAGTGCTTTGGGCACTCTCTGGTGCCAGCCTGCCCCAGTGCTGCTGGGCGAGAGGTTGCAATCAACAGCGAGAAGGAGATTTAACATGTTCTCCCTAAACACGAGTGTACCCAGGGCTCAAAGGGTTGTGGTGAACTCGTGTTTTCCTGGGCTTTCTACCCAGTTAGAGAAGCACTTGCTAGTGTATTAAACCTCAGCTAGAAGTTAACTAAGAAGGAGTTGACATGACATGAAGGGACTCCAGTGATATGAAGCGGAAAAGCCTCTTGAGGACCTTGGCTGGGTTAGCAGCGCTCTGTTGGTGTGTGAGCAGATCTGCTGAGGAAGACTCTGGCTGCTGTCCCTTCTCAGAGCGCAGCACGAGGCTGAGCTTCCACTTTTCCTCTCTGTCTTTTTTTTCCCAGCTCTAATCCGTCCCTTCCTGCCTTCGCTTGCCCTTGGTGTTAAGCGCTTTTTGTTTGTCACCATGTCTGAGCTCTCCTGGTTCCTGTAGCGCCAGAACAGGAGAGCTGGTGTCCCAGTCAGGCCCCCGTCAGGCTTTGCAGCTGTAGCACTGACTGAATTTCCACCCCTAGGCTGGCAGAGAAGTACAAGGAGTGCCTGACCAGCAAGGAGAAGATCCTGAAGGAGATTGAGGTGAAGAAGGAGTATCTGAGCAGCCTCCAGCCTCGACTCAACAGCATCATGCAGGTACTCAAGCTCTGCAGGAAGCAGGGAAATGCCTTTGGGGCTGAGCCGAGGTCACACTTCCAAGGGCTGCGTTAGAGAGGTGCAATGCCTGGACTGCTTCTGCTCTGGAGACATTTTGCTCCCAGTCGAGGTGGCCGAGGGCTTGATTTGCCTCATGCCGACTCCTCCGGAGTCTCCTTGTTTATGCGGCAATTCCCGCAGAACTGCGGATGGAGGAGTCCTTAAATGGGCCTTTCCCGAGAGAGCAACACGCAGTTCCAACCCCTTCTGATTGCCTTGGGAGGAAAAAGCAGGAGAAGGAACTGGGTTATTTTCAGATTCAAAAGTTTTCCAGCAAAGGAGAGCTGTTAGCCCTTCCCCTGGGGGCTCGCCGTGGCTGCGTTCAACCCTGCACCACAGCTCCTGTGCTGATTTCCAGTCTCCCACTTCTCAGCCTGAGGTGAAGGAGAGGAGGGGAGGAGGGTGAACCATTCCATTCCCGGTGACAAAGCTTAACCCTCTTGTTCCTTCAGGCCTCCCTGCCTGTCCAGGAGTATCTCTTCATGCCTTTCGACCAGGCGCACAAACAGTATGAGACAGCCCGACACCTCCCGCCGCCTCTCTACGTTCTCTTCGTCCAAGCCAGCGCCTACGGTCAGGCCTGCGGTGAGCACTGAGCGGGGAGCATGATCCTTGGTGATGTCAGGAGGGGCTGCAGCACCCTGAGAGCTGAGTTTCACTCAAGGCATTGTTTAGAGGACACGTCAGGGAGGTCCTTTTCATCCCATCCACTCTGCTGCTGCATTCTGCTGAGCCCAGAGCAGTGGGGTGGCCTCAGGGCTGACACAATGAGGCAGCAGCAGCATTTGAAACTTTGTTTGCTCAGCTCCCTTGCTCAAAGAATTGCTTGGGAAGCTCGCTTTCCGCCTCTGCCCTCCCTCCCCTGCCATGCCTCTTCTCAAGGTCGGCAGGAACATCCTGCAGGCTGTGAGCTGGCTCGGTGCTGATGCAGCCTCCTGCACCCACAGGGTGGGTGCTCCCTTGTGCCACCTGTATGTGGTGGTGACTCTGGAGCAGGTGCTACCTCTGCCTGCCCTCGTGGAGACCCTTCCCCACAGCTCACTTCTTGGCTCTTGATACAAGATTTGCCTTTTATGGTTTCTAGGGATGTTCCCTCGAACCTCAGCATTTTCCCTCCTCTGACCCCATCCTAACATGGGAGATCCAGCCCTGTGGTGGCCCCACAGAACCCTCAGGACAACTACCTCTCCCCACTGAATCTTCATTTGAGCTTCCTCAGGGAGGAGATTTTTTGGGTCAGGGCTGCTTCTAACCACCTTTGCCATACAGGAGCAGGGCTCATATCTTAGTTTTTGTGTCTCCTCTGTAGATAAGAAGCTTGTGGTGGCCATCGAAGGGAGCGTAGAGGAAGCCAAAGCCCTGTACAAGCCACCTGAGGACTCGCAGGGTGAGTTGGGGTGGAGTTGGGTAGAGAAGTGAGCAGCTGCTGAAATGGTGCGATATCTGCCCTGGCAGCTGATCCACTCCATCCCCAGCTCCTCCTTCCTGAGAGAGGTTCCCAGCCCCATGTCTTTCGAAGTGACCCCTAGTCCTGGGGAAGACAAGTTCCTGTGTGTCTGCTTCCTGCCAGGGCCCTGCTGTTGGCAGAGGCCGGTGATGTCCAGGGGAGCTGTGGATCTCGGGTAAAGGGCTGGTGGTCCCACTGTTTGCGGGAAAGCTGCTGAGCTCCGGGGTGTCCCTGCTTACACCGCTCTCTTTGCACAGATGACGAAAGCGATTCCGATGCAGAGGAGGAGCAGACCACGGTAAGGGGTAGCACTGTTGCCTTCTGGGTCCTCTCCTAACACGGGCAAACAGGGAGCTGGTCCCTATGTGCTGTGAGTATGTGTGGAGGTGCCCTGAGGTTAAATCCAGCCGTTTCTTGGGAGGAGAGAGGTGCTGTTTCTAGTTTCGGTCCCAAATGCAGTAGAACCGGGGTACAAATCCACCCAGCTCGTGTCCCACCGCGCTCATGTCCCACCAGCAGCAGCGGCCGCCTCGCAGCGCTCCAACTGGAGCTGTTCCACTTTTGATAAATCGCCTCCGGCCGGG